CAGCCCAGGCTGGCCTTGAACTCGCAGTGATCCTCGTGCCTCAGCCTCCTGAGTGCTGGGATCAAAGGTATACACCATTATGCCCAGTCTCAAACTTTGATATGGACATAATCACTGTTTTTCACTTACAGAGGAAGCTAACAACTTACCAAAGGTTACATACCAAGACAGTATGGAGGATATACCTGATTGGCTTTAACCTCTAAGTCAAAGGGTCTTTCACATGAGACACATTCAACGAAGGGCAAGAACGTTTACTGAGCAACTACTGTGTGCCGAACACTGGGGAGGACGACCGCAGGGCTCATGGACCAGTCCCACTGTTGGGGAGTTGAAAGATGCCTCTTGCACTGTCAGCTTTGGAAAAAGTGATCCCTACCGTGTTGAGTCAACATTGTACAGAAATCAACAGCCATATTGGTCTAGAAACGTTGAACTTAATTTTTTTCCATTTGTATGGGGGTAATGTACTGTATTAAACATGTAAGGTCTTATCTATGTGGGTTTGAATACAGAAATTAATAAAGTATTCTCTGAAAAAAAAAAAGAAGAAAGAGACTTCTTAGACTCAGGAGGCTGAGGCAGGAGGATCACCAAACTCTCAAGGCCAACCTGGGCAACATAGTGAGTTCAAGGCTTCTTAAACAGGCGTCTCAGAGGATCCGAAGGACTGAAGGATTCCAACCGATGTTGGGGAAGAGGTGTCCCTGTCAGAGCCGAGGAAGGGCAGACAGAGTGAACGCAGGGCAGCAGGAGAGGAAGCAGCAGCTGCAGAAGATTAGGCTTGGAAGCTCAGTGGAGGCCATGCGGAGGAAGAGATCTGGAGAGCCAGTGGGCAGAGGGGCAGCCCATGTCAAAAGTCGTTAGAAGACTCGCCCAGTGGGTAGGATGGGTGGCTGCAGCTTCCCTACAGCCTGAGCATGGCCCACACAGCACGGCTCGGCCCCAGAACTGAGTCCCTAGGGCATTTGCTAGAGCTCACAGCCTATGGAATTCAGTTCTCCGAGCCAGGTGGCCAGAGCACCCTCGCCCAGACCGCTCCGCCGTGCTCCCTTCTGAGTTCTCCCCATTCCCAAAATGAGCAACGGGAGGTCCAGATGGAGCCTCACCCAGAGATCTCAGGGCCCTTCCTCCCCCAGGGCACACGGAGCTTGGAGCTGCAGAGGGGCCGCCGCCAGGGAGTGGACAGGGTGCCCAGATTCCAGCTGGAGCGGAGTGGGTACCAAGGAGACAGGCTGCCGGCAGAATGCTGCCCGCACGGGTACTGCACCCTCGGTCCTGTCATCTCCTGCCCGGAAGTGTGCCAGTGGGCCGGACGTGGGCTGGAGGGAAGACTTGGAGTACATCGGTGAGGAGGGCATCTCCCTGTGGACCCAGGGCCTTCCTGGCCCAAGGGAGGTCCTCAGGGTAGGAGGCCAGGAGTTAGGGCTCCCTGAACATCTCCCACTCGGTCTTATGTTTGGGAAAGCTGAGGTGAGAAGAAAGATGCCCCTGAAACACACTTTCATTTTCTGGAGAGTGGAACGGAGGGTCCCTGCACAGGGACAGCCAAACCGGCCGGCAGCTGTAGGCCCGCCCTGCTGAATCTAGGGAAGGGGCAGCACTCCCCCGGGGAGCCTGGGCTGCGGCTTGGGCGCCGGCTCTGCAGCAGCGCTCCTGCTCCTGCTCCTGCTCCTGCTCCTGCTCCTGCTCCTCCTGCTCCTGCTCCTGCTCCTGCTCCTGCTCCTGCTCCTGCTCCTCCTGCTCCTGCTCCTGCTCCTGCTCCTGCTCCTGCTCCTGCTCCTGCCGTCGGCGAGGGCGAGGGCAAGGGCAAGGGCGACTTTGCAGCTCCTTAAAAAGCCCCCGCCCCGCTGGCTCTTCTGAGAAAGGAGGAAGGTGAAGGGCAGGAGCCTCGTGCAAAGCCCTTCCCGACCCCAAGCCAGAGCGGAGCCCCTGTTCTCCCAAGGGGCCCCTGCCTCATCTCAGCTCTCTGTGCCCCTCTCGCCCCTTGAGGTCAGCTTGCTGGTTCTCTCTCTCTCCGTGCCCCCAACAGCTGCTCCGAGGCTGAATCCAGGCCCAGGCCCTCACTCTGAAGCAAGGTGGAGGAGAGCCGCTGTGCGGGTCAGCGTCAGCACCGGCTCCCAGGGCTCCCTCGGGGAGCCTGACCCCAGCTCCCAGACGCCAGCTGCAGAAGGCCTCTGAGGCAGCCGGGCGTGGTGGCGCACACCTGCAATCCCAGCACTGGGGAGGCTGAGGCAGAAGGATCGTTGCAAGTTCGAGACCAGCCTGGGCTACAAAGTGAGCTCAAGGCCAGGCTCAACTGCATAACGAGACCCTGTCTCAAAAAGACCAAAAAAAAAAAAAAAAAAAAAAGACCTCTGAGGGACGGGGAGAACAGCACCGCATTGCCCACCCCTGGCATGCGGCTCCAAGCAGCACCAGGAGGGTGGGCAGGGCATGCTCTACCAAGGAGGGGAGGCCAGCCCTGGAACCCTGAGAAGGGTTGGGGTTCCCAGACTGCCCACCACAACATCTGCGTCTGTGCTGTCTCTGCTGCGCCCTCTGCTTCCCCGACCTGGGTCTCTCAGCCCCAAACCTGAGCCCTGACGCGCAGAAGGAGGCTCGGGCTGGGACGGCGAGCGCGGGGCTCCGCCTGAGGGCTTCCCGCCCACCTTCCCTTAACCGCTCGGGGTGCTTTCTGGTGCCTCACTACACACAGCCAGAGACGGCGTTTGGAGCAGCAAGGGGACAGCGTGTGGGATGAGGCAGGGGCCTTGGCCGCAACTGGGGCAGCTTCGCGCAGGAAACCTGCAAGTTCCGGGGCGGCGGGAGGGCAGTGAGCAGTCACTGGTATTGTGCCGCGGACGGGCAGGGCAGGAGGCCGCGAGGGAGGCCCGCAGAGGCCTGGGGCCATCGGCGTCCTGCACCCTCTTCCCAGGGACTGCCGAGTTCAAAGTGGCTGCCAGTGTGCCACCCCTCATTAACTCCAGCAGCTCCAGGCTGGCAGCAGCGGCCAGCCTCTTGTGGGAGAAGCCAACTGTGTCCTTCTTTCCCTCTTTCCTGCCTGCTTCCCCGAGCCGTCAACAACCCACTTTCTGAAGCCAGAGGGCCCGCTGGGTGCGATGGGGGCTGTGCCGCGGGGCAAGGGGCCGAGGGGGCGGTAATCCCTTCCTCCAGGTCTTGGCCCTGCCTCTGTCCTAGAGGAGAGAAGATGGAATTTCCCCTGGGACTGTGGGTCCAGGACTGAAAATGGGCTCCTCGCTGCTGCCCGTAGTGGGTTAACTTTCTCTTATGACGACTTTTGGGTTCGCAGGAAGGGATGGTACGGCTCCCCACAGGGAAGCTGAGGCAGCAGGAACGAAGAGAAAGGCTGAGGCCTTGCCTGGTTCTGGTGCACAGCCCTCCGGCGCGAAATTAGCCGCTCTGCCCACAGGGACGTGAGGGCCCTGGGGGTCGGGGTGAGGTCCACAGCCCCTCGGATCTGCGATCTGGGATCTGGGCTCAGGTTGATCCTCAACCTGGACACTTGGTGCACACCTCCTTCCCAGCATGCTGTGACCCACCCTAATCTTGGGGAGATGGCAGTTAAGGCAATGCAAAAGGGACTGGCAGCCAGGAAAGTCGGCCCCTAAGAGTTGACTGAGTAGCCGGGAGTGATGGGGCACGGTTAATCCCAGCACTGTGGAGGCCGAGGCAAGAGGATCCTTGGAGTTTGAGACCAGCCTGGGCTACATAGTGAGTTCAAGGCCGCCTGAACTGCAGAGCGGGACTCTTGTCTCAAAAAAAAAAAAAAAAAAAAAAAAAAAAAAAGGAGAGAGGCTGAAATGTGGGGAAGAACACGAGGTCTTGCAGTACGAGCCAGGAGATCCAACAAGCTGTGGGGGTCTGTGGAAGGGCGACACAGACATGGAGGAACGAGAGAAAAATTTGTAGGATTTCAGGGCAGAGATCCCGGAGGAGAGGGTATAAGAGGGACAGGAAGACCCTAAGGTGCGACTGAAAGGTTTTGCATCTTTGGTAACGAGAAGGAATAAAGCGGGAGTACTGTCCCTCCCATTGTGAATTTAGCCACTGGAGAGACCTTCTCGAACCGTTCCCCGCCCCCAACAAAAATGGCCGCCACGGGAGCCCGTCCAAAGCCCCGGGACGCTAGAGAAAGGCGACAGAAACTCCGCCCCTGTACGGGCAACTGCCCTTCTCCAAGATGGCCACCACAGCGTCGCTGGAAAGGAGCCTCTCTAGGTCCCGCCTTTGATCTCGTTGGTGGGGCTGGGTAATGGGAGCTTCTCCGCGCGGGACTACGAATCGCTGGCGGCGCCCAACGGAGCAGGTGATTCCCCTTCCAGCCCCAGCCCAGGGCTAGGAGTGTCGCGGAGAGCGTTGACCCGGGGTAGCGGTCCTATGTGTTCCCCCTGGGGCCCCCTCCGAACCCTATGTCTGATTCTCGCCGTGGCCTGTACTAAGACACGTCTCTTTGCTCAGGCCTGTCGCCGTGGGTCCCCTCGCTGCATCCCTGTGCCGCGGGCCGACGCCTCCGGGCGCCCGCGGAAGGTCGAAACAGTGTGCGCTTCCAGTGCTACTTCCTGCGCGCCACCTCCCGCGCTGATGCTCCCGCTTGACTTTGGGTGGCGCGCTCCCGCGCTCCTCGTGTTCCGCTCGGTGTCCTTGGCGTCCTAAGGCCGGTCGTGAGGGTCGGGGGAGAGTGGTATCTTCCGAGGGTCTCGTTGTGGATCTAGGACGCGGGAGCAGGGAGAAGCAGTGAAGACCTCGGTGCTCCCCGCACACCCGCCCGGGTTCCCCAGGACTCTAACGCACCGGCTCCTCTGCACACCCCCCAAGGGAGCAGCGGGGTGCTTCTCACCTCGGTCTACCTTGCCCAGAGGTCTCTCATGCTCTCAGCTGCAGTGAGGATAGCGTAGGCTGGCTGCAGAGAGAACGTCTAGGTTCTGAGCAAGGAGAATGGTGTGCGCGAAGGTCCCTTAGTAGGCAGGATGCCCGCAGGGAGGACCGTAATACAGACCTGGCCGCTCCGTTGGCGTCGTGAGACGCGGTGTGGTGATTTGCTGGGATCAGACTACCTGGGTGTGATTTGGCCATTAACGTGCTCTGTGATCTTGGACATATTATTTAACCTCCCAATTTCCTTTCAGATAAAATGAGGATAATAATAGTATCCCTATTTTAGGGTTATTGTGAGGTGTAGGTAAGTAATATAGGTAAAGTGCTTTGAATCGTGTTTGGTAAACAATCGATAAAGACAGGGTGATGGTCGCCTTTCATAGGCACCACCAAGTCGTCCCTGATTTGGGGCTCCCAAGGAAGAATGGGGTTCTGTGGGCTAGATCTGGATGTCCTGGAAATAATGTCCTATTTTGGAGGAGCCTTCCTGTTCAGGATGCATCTTAGGAAACCAGTTTAGTATTCCAAATCTTCCCCAGGTCAAGGAATATGGAGAGTAGAATATCAGGAGGAGCAGGAAGGACATGCTGAAGAAGGCCGAGGTGGGGAAGGGTAGACAAGAGATGTGGTAAGCTTTGAAGCCCGGGCAGTCCCAGAGGAAGAGGAAGAGGAAGAGGATGGTCCCTTAGCACACAAGTCAGCAGGAAAGCTCCGGATAGACTCTCTGGGGACAGTGTGGAGTTTCCTAGTAATAATTCTCCACCCCCAGACCTTGGTAAAAAAATTCCAGAGTTGGGGCTGGGGATTTAGCTCAGCGGCACAGCGCCTGCCTGGCAAGCGCAAGGTCGTGAGTTCGATTCCTGGTACTGGAAAAATACAAAAAATACAAAAAATGAAAAATTCCAGAGCATTGAGGCGGGTATGGTGGCACATTTTTGTAATCCCAGTTACCTGGAAGGCTGAGGCAGGAGGATTGCAAGTTCAAAGACAACCTGCTCAATTTATCAAGACTCGGTATCAAAATAAAAATAAAAAGGACTGAGGATGTAGCTCAGTGGTAGAGTGCCCTTGGCTTGATCCCTAGTACTGAACAAACAAACAAAAAACAAAACAAGCAAGCAAACAAAACAAACTTTAGACACACCCTGGAGAAGCTTCTCTAGACATTGCTCTTTGCTGCAGAGTTCGAGACCCACTGACAGCAGCCAAAGTGTAGGGTCTCTGCAGCGGCTACCTCCTTGAAGGACCTGCAGGGTGAGATCTGGCACACAGGGCTGAGCTGTTCTGTTCTTCCTCAGGCCCATGGCTAGGCTGTGAAGCAGGAAGCAGGCATCACCCTGGTGGGCCAGGCTTCCTTAGTCCTGCGTTTAAACATGACGCCTGCCAGGTGCAGTGGGATCTCAGCAAGTCTGGGGCCAGCCTGGACTATATAGCAAGCCCCTCTCAAACAAATAAACAAAAAAAAAACCAAAGTGACTCCTTTGGTCTCCTAGCAATTCTGTGTTACCCCTTGGGGCCAGGCAACTGTGATCATAGGTGGTAGACCTGACCCAGCTCACATGGAGGCCTTGATATCCTGCAGCCTAGCCCCAGAGTAGTCCTTGGAATAGACACTGAACCAGGTGACCTGAACTCATTACACCACCCGTGCTGGAACCCAGAGCCTCTTGCATGCCAGCCAGATGTTTCCCACTGAGCCATCTCCCCAGCCCTGGGCTGAGCTCTTGACTGCCAGGATCAACGCTGGTGACTCCCAGCTTCATCTTCATCTGTGAGGTGGGGGGTAACTATTAATAGAATGCCTCCTGGGGGATGCTGAATGTGCATTGCTGAGTAAACCAGGTGTGTAGTCCCTGCCTTCAGGAAACACCTGGAAAAGACACTGAACATTGTCCAGATAATTCATTAGTTATAGCTGTGAAAGATCCTGTGAAGTAAGAAAAGAGCAGTCTGCAATGGTGTGTGTGTGTGTGTGTGTGTGTGTGTGTGTGTGTAAAGATGGCAGTAACCAGACCAATTCTAAAGGCACAGAGGCTTGAATGTTGTGAACTGAAAGCGAGCCAGGGTAGAGGATAGTGATCCAGAGAGGGCATGGTTTAGGATGAGGATGGACCCAGCACTTGGGAGGCTGAGGCAGGAGCATTGTTGTGAATTGGAGGCCATCCTTGGCTACAAAGTGAGTTCAAGGCCAGCCTGAACTACATAGCAAGATCCTGTCTCAAAAAGACCAAAAATAAAATAAAATTTAAATTTAAAAAGGGAGAAGAAGATAGCTCAGTGAGAAGGCCCTGGGTTCAATTACCAGAACTGCAAAAAAAAGATTTTTAAGGGGGAAAAAAATGTAACCTTTTTTAAAGGTCATACAGCTCTTGTGTGGCATGTAGGTCACCAGAGGAAAGATGGTGAGAAGGGTTTGGAAGTGCTTGCAGGCAGAAATGGAGCAGAGTTAAGTAGGAAAGTAAACTTGCTGGGAGAAGAGGATGGTTGAGGCTTATGGAAGGCAAGGGCAGGATGGTGTCAAGGGTAATTCCCAGACCCATGGCAGGAATAGCTGCATGCCCATACGTGCATTTAGGGAAGATGGCCCTGCGGGCATGGTAGTGCATGCCTATAATGCTAGCGCTCAGGAGGCTGAGGCAGGAGGATCTTTGCAAGTTTGAGGCCAGCTTGGGCTACATATGAACTATATAGTGAGACCCTCTCAAAACAAAAAAGAAAAGAAAAGGGTGGAGGGATGGCCCTGGAGGAGTAAAATATTGGAATCCTTTGGGCCATGCTAAATGTTGGATGCCTGTTAGACATCCACATGGCAGTGTCTGGGAGGTAGAGGTATAAGTTTGTTGCTCAAAGTAAGAGACTGGCATGCAAGATCAGACATTTGGTGACGTAGAGTTAGTGCATGGGGTGTGGACCCAGTTGAGAACTTTTTTTTTGTCTTTTTGAGACAGGGTCTTGCTATGCAGTTCAGGCTGGCCTTGAACTCACTTTGTACCCCAGGCTGATCTCAAACTTGCAACCATCCTCCTGCCTCAGCCTCCCGAGTGCTGAGATTACAGGCATGCATCACCATGCCCGGCTTTTTTTTGTTTTTTGTTTTTTGGTTTTTTTTTGAGACAGGGTCTCATTATGTAGCCTAGCTGGACTGGAATTTGCAGTGATCCTCCTGCCTCAGCCTCCTGAGTACTGTGATTACAAGTGTGTGCCTCCACGCCTGACTTCCAGCTGAGATCTTGCAGAGCAGAGTGAGGCTGACAGTGAGGAGAGAGAAGCAGTATCCTTGAGGCTGACGGGGACAGCAGAGAAGGAGACAGAAAGGGAGCCAGGGAAGAGACAGCCAGAGAGGTAGAGGAAGCCTGGAGAATGTGCTGGAAATACTGGGGACTGTTAGGTGCAACCACGAGGAAGGGCTCCTTCGTTCAGGGGCTGAAAGGTAGCGCCCTCTTCGGGCGGCTCAGAAGGCTCAACCTGGTTAGACCAAAGCCTGAGAAAGTAACTGGTGCCCCGCCCCGGAGAATGTGGTAGGGACGCTGAACAGAAGGGAGACTGCAGCGAGAAAGGGTGGAACGGGAGTAACAAGGGAGTAGGTGACAGTTGGTGGGTTGGGCCCAGGTCGGGTGAGAGCAGGCACAGTTGTGGATAATCGGCAAGTTTCAGTTTGGGCCGCCGGGTTAGGGGCGCGGGGCGCAGCGGGAGCTGCGGAGCGGAGCTGGGCACGGATGCGCTGGGGCGTGTGGAAAGCGAGGTGCCTGAGGTGATGAGCTGACGACTGCACTCACGGTCTGGAGCCTTCCTCACCACCCCTGCACTCCTGGCTCCTGAGGACAGACTTCTGAGGGTCCGAAGTGTGTAGATGGGGATGAAATAAGTTAACAATCAAGCCGGGTTTCCCAACACCCAGGAGGCTGAGGCAGAAGGATCGCTGTGAGTTCAAGGCCAGCCTGGGCTACATAGCCTCAGAAAATAAATACATACGTACATACATACAAGTCAACAAGCAGCTTGGCGTGGAGGCGCACGCCTGTCATCCCAGCACTAGAGAGGCTGACGCAGGAGTATTGTTGTGAGTTCGAGACCAGCCTGGGCTACAGAGTGAGCTCCAGGCCAGCCTGAACTGCATAGCGAGACCCTGTCTCAAAAAGACCAAAAAAAAAAAAAAGTCAAGAAGCAGTTACTGAGCGCCCACTAAGGGCACACGTTTCCCTGGGGGCTGGGGTTCTACCAGTGGCCGAGACAGCGTCCCTGACCTTTTGGAGCTTGCCCTCTACAGGGGACATGGACAGTAGGGAATCAGCAGGTTGTATTATGAGGAGCACTAGCGTGGGGAATGCCTGTCTGGGGTCTTTATGTCGGGGCAGCTCTCTCTGGGAGCTAACACTGGCACACAGACCCAAGATGTCAAAGCCAGAGCCGAGGGCATCAGGCAGGAAGACACTCACAGGTCTGAGGGCCAGCTAGAAGGCTGAGAAGAGGGCTGGAGAGCAAGGAGGGGAGGGAGGGGCTGATGAGGCGAGCAAGGGCCCGGTCTCGGGTGCCCCCGCAGGCCGGGGGAAGCGGGCTGGAAAATCCTCCTGGCAGCGCCTGGCTGCTGGAAGGGCAGGGACGGGGCAGAGGGGAGACTCCTCGAAAGGCTTCCCCTTCCATCTGGGCCACAGAGCCAGAAAAGCCCCTTTGTGCGGAGGGTGGGTGGCCTGCTGTGGTGGGAGAAGGGCTGTGCACGGTCACCTGCTCCTGGGGGCTGGACAATGGGGCTCCTTGTGGTTGGACGTGAGGGCCAAGTGGTGCCCTCAGTGAGAAGATTCCTCAGCCAGGAGGCATGTGACCCCAAGACCTTGGCTTCTCCCCCGAGGGTCTGGGCTGCTCTGCTGCCAGGGAATGGGATAGAGGGTGGGGCGCGGCAGTGTCTTCTGCAGACAGTGCTCTGTCCTGTCTTGGGCTGGGGGCGGTGCAGATGGCGGTGGAGGGGTAGCCGCTGCGCTGGGAGGACCAGCATCAACAGATGTCACAGGCGGGGAGGAGGAGCCGCTGCCCCAGGCCCGGTGAGTGGGGCAGGCAGAGCGGGCTGGCAATTCTCCCTCTTGTGTCCCTCCAGGCGAGGAGCAAGCATGGAGCTGGAGAGGATCGTTAGCGCAGCCCTCCTTGCCTTTGTGCAGACACATCTCCCAGAGGCTGACGTCAGGTAGGGGCCGAGCCGGGGCACTGTCACTGCTGCCAGCGGTACTGTGGGCCCTGGCTGGTGGGAGGATGGGCAGATCTGTTCCCGATGTGGCGAGGGCTGGTGTGGACTCGCCGAAATGGCCCTGCCCGCCTTCGCTGGACAGGTGGAAAACCAAAGCTCTGAGGGAAGGGGCGTACTCCCTGGCCTCAAGGACTGAGGTCTGACTTAGGGACCCTCATGAGACCTAGGGCTGGGGTCTCAGGCGAGGTGGGAGTGCCTAGCCAGGGCTGGGCCTGTTGTTCCTACAGTGGCCTGGATGAAGTCATCTTCTCTTATGTGCTTGGGGTCCTGGAGGACCTGGGCCCCTCCGGCCCTTCCGAGGAGAACTTCGACATGGAAGCCTTCACTGAGATGATGGAGGCCTATGTGCCTGGCTTCGCCCACATCCCCAGGTGGGCCTGGCCAGGGTCAAAAGGAGGGGCTGCTTGGTTGTAGGGGATGGGTGGAGGGTCCTCTCACCACCTTCCTTGTCCTTTCAGGGGCACGGTAGGGGACATGATGCAAAAGCTCTCGGGGCGGCTCAGTGATGCCAGGAACAAAGGTGAGTCTGGGGCTGTGGCGCTTCGGAGATTCATAACCGCCTCCCGAGGTTCCAGCAAAACTGATGCCCTCTCTGACTCTTTAAGAAAACCTGCAGCCACAAAGCTCTTGTGTCCAAGGTCAGTTACCCATCTCCCCAGATCCCCTGCAGCGGCCTGAAAAGCTCAGAGAAGAGACCAGTTCTCCTGTTGCGGCGGGGGACACCCACGACAAGGGCACGGTAAAGGTACTGATGGGCAACCCTGGGGGCCGGGCAGGAGGAAGTGCTGTGTCTTGCCAACTTGTCGACCTTTGTGCTCACAGGCAGCTGGCACCGAGGAGTTGCTGCCAGGGGTGGATATGCTCCTGGAGGTGTTCCCCACCTGTTCGGTGCAGCAGGCCCAGTGGGCGCTGACCAAAGCTCGGGGGGACTTGGAAGAGGCAGTGCAGATGCTGGTAGAGGGGAAGGAGGAGGGGCCTTCAGCCTGGGACGGCCCCAGTCAGGTACCCTCTCCAGCGCCAACGCAGCCTGGCTGCACTCCACCTCAGTGTTAAGCCCCCGCCCTGCCTCCCCCGTCTGTTTCCCCTCTGGGTCCATCAGACCTAGACTAAGCTGTCCCTCCACAGGACCTGCCCAGGCGCCTTAGAGGTCCGCAAAAGGATGAGTTGAAGTCCTTCATCCTGCAAAAGTGAGTCTGGGCTGGGCTGGCTGGGCCTGGAGTCTTCGGGGCGGCAGGAGCTTCATCCAGCGGGTTTGGCAGGTACATGATGGTGGACAGTGCAGAGGACCAGAAGGTTCACCGGCCCATGGCTCCCAAGGAGGTAAGAAGGCTGGGGCAGCTGGGGAGGTGCAGTGGGGAGGGAATGGCACCCGGTTCCTACTGCTCACGCCTCGGTTCCCCAACAGGCCCCCAAGAAGCTGATCCGCTATATCGACAACCAGGTAGTGAGCACCAAAGGGGAACGATTCAAAGATATGCGGAACCCTGAGGCCGAGGAGATGAAGGCCACATACATCAACCTCAAACCAGCAAGAAAGTACCGCTTCCACTGAAGCCCTCACTGGACTCTGCCTGAGCCGGCTAGGCTCAGGCCCCCAGGCATGTGGGAGGCCTAAGGAGCCCCAGGGGGCTCCCTTATCCCAGTCCTTCTTTCTTCTCCATCCGGTTCTCTACTTCCTTGCTCCAGGTGTTAACCTGCTCTTGGAGCTGTTCCCCAGGCACAGTAAAGGAGGCCAAGGAAGGTGTGTGCATTCTGCATTTTGGTCATTTCTGGCTCAGGGATGGGATACTATTCCTGTCCGTCCTTCGCAACCCAGGTTCACATCCCCTGTCTCTAACTGGGTAGCACCAAGCAAAAGAGGGCAAAAAGGTCTTTATTTGAGGTTCCAGGGTGGGACAGGGCACGGGCCTTGCAGCAGAGACCCCTACGGTCCAATTTCCCTGCAGTTCTGCGCCGGGTCCCACCCCACAGTTCAGCTGGCTCCCGACAGGAAGTCAGACCTGCAGGTTGACAAAGGGCGCGAAGCCTGCCATGTCCTGCAGGAGCACCAGGGCCTGGTGCAGCGGCGGCTCCACGTCGATGTCCACTCCCCGTTTCCGCAAGCGGCTCAGGCTGGGCTCGGCCACGTGGTGGCAGTGCCGCACCCGCAGCGAGCGCAGCGCGGGGCAATACTCGGCCAGCGTCCTGTGGGAGGAGGGGTGAGGCTTGGAGCTGGGGCTCGCGCTCCCTCGGCGGGACCCCGCCCCCCACCTCCCCGGCTCCAACAAATCCCAGGTCTCTGCAGCTTAGGGCACGTTTTTTCCTCCAGACAGGGGAGAGGGTCTGGATGGGGATCAAACGCTCCAGGGACCCGGGGCCTTCCGGGCTGTAAGAGGGACGCTGCGCCCCAGGGCGCCCAGGGTGGAGAGGTCCCCCTTGCTGAAGAGAAACCAGGCCGATGCGGAAGCGAGCAGTGTGTGCGCACTGGCGCGGTTTTGGAGCGCGGCCCCTCTGGCCCGGATAGTCCTAGCGGCCCGTCTGCGCAGAGGGGGTGCCCTTTGCCAACTGCAGCCCGCCCACCCCGCCGCCCAGGCCCTGGCACCTGATGCCGTCGCTTCCGACGCGGAGGCAGCCGGTGAGGTCGAGGTGCTCCAGGCGAGGGCAGTTCTGGGCCAGCTCCTGGACCGAGGTGTCGCCCACGTTGGCGTTGACCGCCAGCGAGAGGCTGCGGAGGCCGGCGCCGCGCCGCCGCGCCAGGTACACGATGGCCTCGTCCTTGAGCTGGCGGCAGGCGGTGAGGTCCAGCTCCTCCAAGGCCGGGCAGCGGTCCGCGAGGCCGCGCAGCGCCAGCCCGTCCACCCAGTCGCAGTGCGCGAGCGATAGGCGCC